GTCATACGCACCACTGATGTTCATATAAGCTACATATAGGTCCCGTGCGCTGACAAGAGGGAGCTGCGTTGCTGGCCCTAGCCCATCCTAAGTTCACTGACGCTGGCTGTTAGGTGCATGCAGAAAACAGACGTCCAGAAAGCACGCGTCCCTGCAGCGATCCGCCCACTCACGCGGGCAGGGAGACGCGGGCATCGCGTTCTATTTAGACACGCCAACCTAGTATTGCGTTTTTTCTCCGATAGGCATTGCGTTCTGGCGCTGCGGTCACAGTGGAAAAGTCGACTGCGCAGTGTGGACCTGTTTTCTATTTTATTTATTTCTGTACACTGAGCAAGAACAAACAGGTTACAGTCTAACCTCCAGTTGATTAGGAATCTATGGATTCTGAAGTTGTCCCAAAACATCATTTGTTCTGCCAATTTTAATTTTACTGCCCACAACGCCAGCCTGTATAGCACAGATGTAAAGATTATCAGTCTATACGAGTTAACGTTAACATATCTCCTTTACCGTTAAAAGTTAGGTTCATTCTACTTTCCCGCCAAGTGTGTGGTATTTCCTCCTCCTTTAAGCACTTTTCTATAGATTTCAGCAGAGCCTCTTCAGTGGTATAGCCTAGTTAGTTGATCAGACAGACGGGAACCCCACCTAAGCACAGAGTTGTGTGCTTAGGAATTTTTCTTTCGGCCTTCTTCAATTGAAATTCTCAAGTACTACCTCTTTCTCGGTTGCACTCTTTTCATACTTTTACTCACCGGGGAATTCCCCTGAACGACATTTTTAAACGAACCTCCCGTCAACTTTTAGATATAAACTGTGGGGCTTCGTACCTTTCTGATTTATTTCCTCCATCATCTACTATATGTTGTTGCACTGTGACAGATTTCCTACCTAGAGCTTCTTTTGGCGCCGCCTTCTTCTTTTCGCAAATCTCTGTCATTCAGCGCCCACTTTCCCCTTTTATTTTTGTCTCGATCAATTTCTGTACAATGGTTTTTGTCTCTCAATTTTTCTCCCTTACTTGGTTGACTTCATCTGGGGCTGCTTCTCCCTTTTGCCTGTCTGTGCTCCTGCGATGCCCATGTCACTTCTCGATCACTTCCGGAATTTTTCTATTCTCCGAACTATTAGGCTTTTTCTTTCCTTAGGAGCAAACAGTTCTCTTTTTCCATCTCCTTTGTCATAATATGTACCAGTCTTTTCCCAGTAGTTCGCCTACTTCCGCTTTGACTCCCAAGGCTGTATTTGTTATTTGTGTGTCATTTCAATACAATCTTCCAAACGGGACTCCGTGTCATTTTTTTCAGTTTAGTATCCCATTTCTAACGTTATGCGTTTATGATCACTACCCAAGCTGTACATGCCTTTATCGTCTTTTCTCATCTATAAGTTTCTGATAGATTCACTCTTTCATGATACCATAATCAATGCTCAATTCCCTGTGTCAGACCTCCCAAGTCATGTGCCCCTTACACTGAGGTCCCTCGTTAGCTTTCTCAAGACTATGCCGCTAGCAGAGACCTTGAAATAACTTCCTATTAGTGTTTGAATATTCGTCAAAGTCATATGAGTGATCAATGATGCCGCCTGGAAGTATTATTTCGGCCCCATGACCAAATTCTTCGATATCGGTGCGTATGCAATTTACTATGTCCAAATTCTCTGTTTTTTTTGAAGTTATTTCTTTTCTCCAAGTAAGCTACACCTAGCCATGTTTTCTTTCCCTCTACTGTGCCCGAAACCCAGAGGTGCTCTGAACATGTTTTCGTCACTATATCCCATTTGGCTTTGCTATGAATTATCATTCCAACATCCTCATCTTCCGTTTCTATTGTGATCTTGTTGCGCCATCCCAAGCATGAAGACTACCAATCGCAGCGCCACGAGCGCATCGACCCTGTTTGGGCTTCTCTCTCTGTGAAGCGGTGCTGTGGCCATTCCAGGCACTCCCCTGGTCTAGTACACCCTAGTTTAGATTACAGAACACACAAAGGTCACTTCATTGGTGGCAAAGACCCCGTTTTCGAAAGAAGCGTTTGGATCAAACGCAGTGAAATTGCGACTCTGACACTTGTTAGTGCGCGCTCGCCCTATGTATATTTGCGCGTAAGTTTTGTGTGTTCTTTGTGCTTGAGCAGCACGTTAAGGGTCGAGCAGGGAATGTTGTTCGCGCTCATCCTATGAGTTTTTTTCGTGCGTCTTATGTGCTTGAGCAGCGTCCTACACTTTTATATCTGCTGCCTGTTTTTCGCTTAATATTCCAAATTGTTTTTATCACATTTATGTCTTCGCTTTTGCGCAAAACTGAGACTTCTTCAGAAAACTCTAATCTGACATGAAAACTCGGCATGCCATAAGTCCTTTTCAGTCTTCATTGAGACTAATACCCTCCATGCTTGGAAATAGGTACACTGACGTTACTTTACATGATTTTTACGCATCCCGACTATATTAATCTAAGAGAACATAAAAGGCCCCTGTAGATACTAACGTATGTTAGTGTAATTGTATTAGATGTTGAATGTCGCTTGAATGGACCCGACAAAGGCGTGAAATCAGACGTACTTACGAGCACTTGCTCTTCAATCCTTTTTTACGGTTCTTTTCTTTTATCCGTCCTGTATCCACTCTGTGTAAAATTTTCATTCTCATTTGCTGTGATAAAAATATAGCACATTCACAGACATCCATATTTTCTACTACTAAGTATGAGTTCCTTTACATACATGTATTTAATACGTGACTATTCAACGATCCCTGCATGAGCTAAAGAGGGTAACAAAGAGCGCCAGATCTGCTTAAAATTTTACATAAATACTGCAACGCTACCATTTCACTAAATCAGTCCACGTTTCTTCAGCCCAATTCGCGAATGCTTACTTTTGAATATTGGCGTTTTGCCAGCGCACAAACTCGTTTCCGCACTGCGCATTAGGTGGCTGTTAAATATACTTCCCAGTGTGTAACACTATTCGGCGCTAGTAGGTGCATTTGCACATGACAGGTTCCAGGTCACATGTCAAGCGTATGGAATTTCCGCAAAACAGCGGTATTGCTAAGAATTCGACTTGTATTGCTGAAGCAGGAATGGTGCTTTAAGAAGAAGTAAACTTTCTCACTCGGTACCCATAAATTTCACTATGATATACTGAGGATTGGAAACGGCGGCCGCCATGTACAATCACCCAGTCATTCGCTATCATAATGCTGCTCGTATAGATAGAACAGGCAAAGCCGCCACATTGTGCAGTTATAATACGAGCCCATTAAAAGTACCGAAATGCCACTCGGCGATGCATGCAAATGGTACCACGATTGACAACGTAACGCTGTCAAAAAGAGGAAGATGGAAGCCTACAATGAAAAATTTGTAGGCCTCGTGCCGACGTTACCGCCGCTTGTCATGAAGAAGAATGGAAGCATTCATGACTTCTAGTCATACAAAAAGGCAATGTCGACTTGGCGAAGCATCGGCTTAAGGAAGCTGCGCCTGTCTACGAATTTTTTTTATTGTAATGATATTTAGCTCATATATCTTCGGGCATGGTCCGCGAGTGATGCTTCCGTGTGCCACCATATAAATAGTGACGTGTGTTTTTACTTTTTTTCAATAACGCTAACTGCTACCGCGTAAACACACTACAAGAGGTTGCTTTAGGTCACAGTGCTCACTTGCTCGGAGTGCGAAGCAGGGTAACAGATCCTCAGTGATAATACAGCCGAGAAACTAATACCTCGTTAGTATTATCTCTTCAAATCACATTCCTTTAACTCTAACTCCGTCAATTCGAGCTGATGCCTTGGTCTTGGCACAGCCCCTTGCAGTCTGTATGAAAAGAAGGTCCCATATGAACCTCCCACTAATTAAATCACGTAGGGCCGCCAATAATTGGTCCAGAGGGATCACAGTGTGTTGCAACAAAAAAGCAAAGCTACTTTACTATATGGATGCAAAACAACGGAACAGGACCATTTCTCCACAGATGAGAATTCAGACGCTGTGTCGGAGCTCTTTCGCATCTGCACACAATGCTCATGGAGTCGTGACTAAAGAAACGCTAACACATGCAAAATCACTTTTTCATTTGATTGCGTTGACCTTGCCAGGTGAATAAACGTTTTTGAAGCATAAAGAGCATCGCATATTTTACAATCAGGCTCATCATCATCATCATCACCATCATCATCATCATCAGCCTGACTACGTCCACAATCAGGCTCACTGCTCACATGAATGCACGTCGCTGCTCGTTGCTGGCGTAACTGATCCATTTCGTTCGCTGTTAGTGCTTTATGAGCGTGATTTACCTGCCACTAAGCGTGATTTACCTACCACTTTATCAGCGTAAAGTTACGTGCCACTAACGCATAATGACCAGTTCCCGAACACAAGTCCCGAGAGATATTCTGGATATGCCGGCTGTGTGTGCTGCGATGTCCGTTAGTTTCAGCACCCACTCGCTAATTTGAATTCCGTTTCACTTGATGCGAACAAATTTGTGGTTCTCTTCCGATTCAAATCGACGACATTTTGGTGTAATAACGGGGATAATACGTTTCAAAACCACGATATGATAGAGGTCCTAGTAGAGGGATCCAAAAATGTGGATCGTCTGATGTTGTATAACGTGCACTCATAACTTAAGTATATATACAGGCCTCTAGCAAATCACCTTAATCGGAATGCTGCTTTGAATAGTACATCATCGCTTTATATTAAATTTTTTCAACCATTGTGGGGCATGCTGTCCTTTGAAATTGAGAAACATGGGAGGCAAGGGTGCCCTGCGAGGTAATTTTGCGCCCCCCCCCCCCACTCTCCATAATGGAGAGAGGGGAAGCCACCGAAGTATTTTCACGTAGATTCCCAGTCTCAGACGTTTCTCTGTATACAGGTCCTGATTGTTTTGAGTAGTTGTGTCCTTATATTATGCGAGTGACAGAAGAACCTCCATGTTTCTTCAGCATACACATCTTGTCATGCACTCTTATCGCAGGTACTCGGGGCGAGCACACCGAGAGTGAAGGTGGTGTCTACGACATATCAAACAAGCGTCGCCTCGGCCTCACGGAGTACCAGGCGGTCAGGGAGATGCAGGATGGAATCCTCGAACTGATCAAGCTGGAAAAGGAGTCCTAGGACTGCTGCTCTTAACTAGAGAGGAGCAAATGGTGCAGCGTTTGTACTGAAATTCGCGCAACTGCACAACGCACAAATTTATTGTAAATAGATACACAGTACTCAAGAAGACTGAAGCCTGTGTCATTGTATTTTTCTTCAATAAAAAAAGCGTGTAATTGGCATGTAACTACCATGCGCCATCACACGCATAATTTTCTATCCTGCAATGCCTCGTTCATATTGACATGATATGATTTGGGAGCTTCTGCCACAAATATTCCCATGGTACATGTAAATTGGTAGCGCAACTTCTGTAGAAGCTCATGTATCCAGTAGTCAGTGGCTCGTTGCCAGCGTCGTCATCTAAATACGTGTGGAGGGGAAAAGGAACAGCAAAAACTAAAATATTACGTCTCAACTGAAGTGGTAGCAACGTCTTGCATTTGGTCATCAAGGTGCGAAGTAGTTTTTTCTTTAGTACTCACCTTTTACATACGTCTTGATAAATAAGCGTTTTTATCGCGCCTTTATATCTGGCCAGTTGCATACGTGAGAAAAAAAGACCAACAAGAAAGATCCAGGAAACAATGTTGCTCTATTAGTGAAAACGTGCGCTGCCTATATACACCAAAAACTTTCCGAATGGAGAAATTGCGATGTAGCTGTTCACACGCACAATAGCCCAATAGTTCAAAAATTCCCGTTGCCCAATTGTGAAAAACCACTGCAGCGACACAGCAGCCCTGAGATAATAATTTTAGCAATTTTTTAGAGTATAGCAATTTATTATCTGCTAGAATGTCACAAAACGAATGCACTAGCAAAAAAAAGGCCATTCACACCCAGCGTCAAGAACGCAGTCGAACTCCTTGCGCTCAGCAACCATACGTAGCTGACACCGTTGAGCGATTCGGGAATGGTCATCACAAGACATCGGCACGAAACGGTGACATCATGAGAGTCCTGGTAGTCTTGGTAAACAACGAGTGTTCGCATGCGTATTAGAGCTTCCACCTTGTGGGCGCCGCTTTTGGACACTTACTAGAAGCAATAACGCTTAGCACGCTCGTTTGAGAAAAGTCGCGACGATATTTCTTTCGCTGGACTCCCTACAAGCAGGACTTTGTTCAGCAGGTAAAAGCACACCACCTCGTTATGCAGTACCTGCCCGAGAGTGTTTGAATTTTGTTGTACTCCTGGATTGTCTTCTTCATTGTAAATACTTTGCTTTTGATGTATACACTTTTGATTGATTGATATGTGGGGTTTTACGTCCTAAAACCACCATATGATTATGAGAGCCGCCGTAATGGAAAGCTCCGGAAATTTCGACCACCTGGGGTTCTTTAACGTGCACCCAAATCTGAGCACACGGGCCTACAACATTTCCGCCTTCATGTATACACTTTTCCTTCAAGATCGCTGACTACTCATTCAGGATAGATATATTTCTCGAATTCTGACGCCAAACGCCCACCAGGAATGGCTCATATATGAAATACATGAAAAGGCGTTCTTTCTAATGAGAATACTGGCGACAATTTCTTTATGAAAACCTCCACCACATCCCCTTCTTCTCAATTCAACCAAGTTAACTGCTCGGTTCTTGTGGGACAAACTTCAGAACTGCTACACATTGGCTAACGCATGTTTGACACCCCTGCTCTATGGTGTCAAAGCTCGTCTCCACTATGCTATCACCATTTTATTTCCACCTCTGAGTGTTTATGCAACCTATTGCAGCGATTCCTGTTCTCTTTTGGTGCTTTTTTATCATTTGCTTCAAAATGGAAAACCGCCCGCATCGTTATGATACCCAAACCAGGAAAGTGCATACAGCTGGAAAATCTATGGCCGATATCGCTGACGTCCTGCGTTGGTAAGGTCGTGGAGCACGTGGTCCTCGCGAGACTAACAAACTTTCTCGAGGACCACGATCTGATTCCTCACACCATGCTGGGCTTCAGGAAGAGCCTCTCCACGCAGGACGCCATGCTACAACTCAAGCACCAGGTAATAGACAGCATGACCACTTCTACCAAAGCAATCTTAGGCCTAGATTTAAAGAAGGCGTTTGATAATGTCAAGCACTCGACTATACTTACCCGAATAATAGAACTAGGACTCGGTAAAGGACGTACGACTACGTCCGTGATTTTCTAACGGACAGGACAGCGAGGATCACATTGGGAGAATTAGAGTCAGGAGAGATAGAGATGGGCAGCGCCGGCACTCCTCAGGGTTCGGTGATTTCGCCCTTGCTCTTTAACCTCGCACTCATAGGGTTACCAGCTAAATTAGAAGAGATTGACGGGCTCTCCCACAGTCTGTACGCAGACGACATTACTCTGTGGGTAACTCGGGGATGTGACGGCCAAATAGAACAGACGCTACAGCGAGCCATCGATACGGTTCAAAGATTCCTAGAGGACACGGGCCTCACCTGCTCGGCTGAGAAATCGGAGCTACTGGTTTACAGACCTACGCGCAGAGGTCGAAAGCCCAAATACAGCGAACAAAGCGCAAATCACGCAGAGGAAGCGATACAGCTAACGACCTCGGAAGGCCACGTCATTCCCAAAGTAGACGTTATACGCGTATTAGGCTTGTATATTGCAGCCAATGGCCACAATGGCGAAACTGTTCGCAGGTTGGAACACGCGGTAAATCAGACAATCCGACTTCTAAAACGAATTACGAACCGACATAGTGGTATGAAAGAAGGGAACACTATTAGACTTGTGCAAGCCTTTGTCCTCAGTAGAATCACGTACGTTGCCTCTTACTTGAATTGGCACGTCGCCGAGAAGATAAAATTAGATTGCTTAATCAGGAAAGTGTATAAGCAAGCTTTATGCTTACCCATGAACACAAGCACAGTGAAATTATTAGAACTAGGCTTGCACAACACGCTTGATGAATTAATAGAAGCGCACAACGTAGCACAGTATGAACGACTTTCTAAGACTAAAACGGGCAGGTACATCCTCGAAAAACTGGGAATCCACTATCACACGCAGCAAGGAGAAAAAGCCGACATAACCGTGATGGTGAGGGAAAAGATAGTGATTCCGCCGTTGCCCAAAAATATGCACCCGGAACATCACACCGGCCGAAGAAACCAGAGAGCGCAGGACTTGCAGAGAAAATTCGGAAATTGCAAGGAAGCGGTATTCGTGGACGCGGCCAGATACGCGCGAAGGTGTGGTTACGTGGCCGCGGTGGTCGACGGTAAAGGGACATGCATGACGAGCGTTACGGTGCAAACGCCACTGACCGAGACGGCCGAGGAGGTGGCCATAGCACTCGCGGTGGCGACCACTGAGGCCGAAGTAGTAATTAGTGACTCGCAAGCAGCGATACGCAACTATGCGAACGGTCGTGTCTCCCGAGAGGCGCTGCGAATCCTAATGACTAACGAAGACAAAATTCGGGAAAAAAACACACTAACGTCATATGGACCCCCGCACACACACAAACCCCGCTGGCCGGCAACGAGGCGGCGCACGCGGCGGCTCGAGCACTCACGAACCGAGCCGTTGCGAACGCCGACGCCGCCTCGGACGAAGTTCCACGCGGGGGGGAGTGGGAGTGGGGGGACCGCATGACTAGTTACCACGAAATAACGCAGCACTATAAGCTAGAAAGGCGAAAGTACCCTCCGCCACACAACAGGTTAAATAAAAAACATGCAGTTGCGTGGCGACAACTGCAAACATATACTTATCCGAATCCAGTTCTCTTTAGTCTCTGTTACCCTGATCTGTATTTAACAGAAAAATGCAAGGTTTGCGATGAAAGGGCGACACTTTCACATATACTATGGGAATGCTCGAGTTTAGATGAAAGCAACGATGAAAACCACGAAGAGGCAGTTTCGGACCGCAGGACACGCTGGGAGGGGGCTCTGCTCAGCTCCTCATTCGAACAACAACTGTGGGCCGTCCAGCGAGCCGAGGAAGCCGCCCGAGCCCAAGGGCTCGTGGCCGACGCCTAGGCCCGCCCCAAATCAACTTCGCTGGACTTCATAAATAAAGTTATTCTTCTTCTTCTTCAAAATGCCGCCTCTGAATGTGCCCAAGTTGTTTATTTATTTTTTACGCTGGCCTCCAGAGGGCCTTGTTTCCCCTTTTTTGGGGGAACAAGGGCCTTCAGAGCTTTCAGGGCTGCCCACCCTGCAAGTTGCGAACCGCTAAAGGACAAAACCGCATTCTGCTCAACCAGTTGCGCAACAAGAATGAGGACGAAGTGGTTCACACTTATACGAATGAAACTCGATAGCTGCCTAACTTTACAGTCAAAGCGACCTGCGAAGTGGACCGGCACGAAGTGGACCGGCACGAGAGCTCTGGCCGGCTGGCTCGCCCTATGCCATCTCCTGATGCTGACAAGAGCTTTCTCTGAGGGGTGCCCTGTCCTCGGACCCCTGCGACCGTGTCCATTTTTCCTATCTCCTCCTTACTTCCATATGTGGCTGTCTCTGCGCTTCGCTCTTTTCTTCCGCTCTCTCTATATCTATGCCTTTTTAATTCCTATCCTTTTGATTTCTCTTTACTGCCATCCCTCATGAGATACTGCTGAGGTGTCCTCCCCCTGAGAGGCAGTTTCGGAACTCATTTTTCTCTTCTTTTCATTTAAGAATCATTTTCTCCCCAGTATAACGTGGCAGCGTGCTGTGACAGTAAGTGTGGACAGGCGACAGCATCGTGTGCGCTAACTCCACACAGTCGACCGGCGGTCTAGCCAGGCTTGTTTCGTGAAATTATTTTAGGCTGTACCTTGACAAAATGACGGAGTTTCATAGCCGATTCTTTGGAGGAGGAGCATAGCAAAGTGTGGGAACGCAGAGGCGGATACACGTCTCTGAGGAAAAGAGAGTTGTTTGCTGCATTCGCGGAGCATCAAGAAAACGTTCGTACCACGGAGGTTCGTGCCACGTCTCAGATGAGACGGGAGGTATTTATGGAGATAAATGAAGAGGAGGGGAGCTTGGCGCTCGAACACGACAACAGAAAGCGGGGGCGGAGGTCGTGCTTGGTGCCGAATCTGATCCAGAGTTTTACCTTACATCGAAAAGTTAGGGTCGATGTGTGTGCTATACTAAGGGCTTGCCAAGTAACGCTGGCATTCATAC